CACCCACCGCCAACTCTTGAGCTACCTTTTTATCAACGAATAGTGGGATTGACCGTCATATTATAACGCCCTCACGGCTGAAAGGGCGAGCATGTTTGGTGGGACGGAGATTCGAACCCGCAACTCGCAGATTACGAGTCGAGCGCCCTAACCACCTGGCCAAAAAGATAAAAGAAAAAGGAATAAGTGAATTATAAACTGATAGAGTTTAGAATAAAAACAGAAAAAAATAGTCTGGCTTGTCAACTGAATTCTAAAGCAATTGAATTGGCCTAAGTGGGCTTTTGACAAGAAGAAGAAAACTTTATAGCATTTAGATACAACTATGATATACATAATGTAAAGCATTTTTTTACATACGTTTAACTTGTTTTGAATATATTATTTGAAAACAAGTGGAGTGTGTGTTGTCCATTTATTTTTGGATTTATCGCCAACAAGTCACAGATACCTACTTTAGAAGAATCCTTAGCCCAACACACTAATACGTATATTTTAACTTACTATATATATAATATAAAAAAGTAAGTTCCTGACACGGAACATGCACAAAACAAAAGGTATTTGATGGAACTTATAACTGCACTTTCTGCAACTTCTACAATAGTAATTCACTGAAAATTATGCTTTGAAGACTGTAGTTTTTGCTAATTATAGATTTCAAGAAATATTATATCAAATAAACTATTATAATTTTCTATTTATATCACTATCATTATTAAAAATTCGACAGAATAAAAATTTTAAATCCGAAGACTATTCACAACTAATAAGTACCCGTTTTCTGCTTATTACTTTTTTAACTGCAGCTATTTGGCTATTACTGCTACGAAGCATCTTATTCTAATTTTTATTTTTTGTAATATATTAGCATAATAGACCTAGATTAATATGGTTTTTAAATGTATTTGCAACACTGATGTATTATTGATCATTTTTATTATATCATAAAGGAATAGCTAGTTGTTTGATGTTGAATATTTCTTTTATAGTTATGTCTCACCAGAAACATGTCATTTTTATATTGTTTTTTCTTCTTCTTCTTTCTTTCTTCTTCCAAAACACTTTTCAATTGACCGCCATTCCTTCAATTCTCGGCGGATTGGCTTGAAACTTTGTAGGGTTATACCTTGGTCCAATAAGCCCAGGATTTTATGGGGTCAAAGGTCAAACAATCCAAAAATGTATATTTTGGGCTTCTGTTCGATCATATTTAAAGCAATTAAGATGTAAATTGGCACAAATATAAATTTTCATACGTCCAACACGTTGACGTACAAAAAAAAAGTTGGACAAAACGTTGTATATATTTGCTATCATGTTAAACTTATATTAATGTTGTTGTTTTTTATTACCGATTCAAGCCGGCTCCAAGTATTATTAGTCTCCAAGTGGGTTCCCCGTCACCGAATCTCCACGTAAGGAACATGGACCCAATTTAGATAAATACAACTTTTATTTCCTAACATAAGCATTTTAGGTGACTAAATCCTACGTGAACACTTAACTTTCATTAATGGACACCCAATCCTTTCAAAATCCATCAGTGGAGCGAAAAATAATTAAATAACACAACAATATAATTCAGAATTTCAACAAATTAACCAAATACCTAACTCAACCCTAACATGCTTTCATTTAACCACACAAACCTAACAACACTCACTAATTTTCTCGCGCGAGATGGTTTGTTTGTTTGTTTTTGAATTTCGCGCAAAGCTACACGAGGGCTCTCTGCGCTAGCCGACCCTAATTTAGCAGTGTAAGACTAGAGGGAAGGCAGCTAGTCATCACCACCCACCGCCAACGCTTGGGCTACTCTTTTACCAACGAATAGTGGGATTGATCGTCGCATTATAACGCCCCCACGGCTGAAAGGGCGAGCATGTTTGGTGGGACGGGGATTCGAACCCGCGACCCTCAGATTGCGAGTCGAGTGCCGTAACCACCTGGTCATGCCGGGCCCGCACGAGATGTACTTCTCTAGTATTAATGTTTATGTGTATTTATTATAAGCTAAAGTTAAGTTATCTTAGACTTCTTTGTGCACACGTAAATATAGTTTACTGACAATACAGGAAAAAGTTGTGATTTTTTCAGTAGCATTCCAAGAATCCGCATTGGGTCGTTAATTGTTTCTTTGTTGTCATGGGAATCGACATTTATTACAACTTTTACATGTCAAGGTATTAACATTCTTATATGTTCACATTAGTGTTACCTACTTATTTACTGTTGTGTTCCGTTTTTATTTTTGATCTGTTAGACGCCTAAATTACTAAGAATTATTTGTAATAACTAATTGGCTTTTAAAAAAACTGAAGAAATGTACAGTTTGGATACATTATATTACAACGATTTTCGTTCACCAAACCATTACATACTACGTCCGGTCACGCTCTATCTGACAACCGTGCTTCCTGACTATAGCTATGCATCATAGTTCTGATTACGAAAAGTTCCGTCATAAGGCTGCCATGTCCAAAGTGGGCTTTTCCAAAAACTATCTAGCGTCCAAGAACGAAAACGAAATCCACAGGCGATGCGTCCGTGCGACTTGACCAGAATGTCTTTGTATGAAGGAGCATGAACACACATTTCATTTTCCAATTGCTTGAAAAATGATTTATTTGTTTTGAATTTCGCGCAAAGCTACAATAGGGCTATCTGCGCTAGCCGTCCCTAATTTAGCATTGTAAGACTAGAGGGAAGGCAGCTAGTCATCACCACCTACCGCCAAATCTTGGGCTACTTTTTTACCAACGAATAGTGGGATTGACCGTCACGGCTGAAAGGGAGAGCATGTTTGGTGTGACAGGGATTCGAACCCGCGACCCTCAAATTGCGAGTCGAGCGTCCTAACCACCTGGCCTTGATAAATTATGTGGTTGAACGGATATGTCGAGGATGTAACTTGTGTGTGTATGAGACTTGTGTTGCTTTCCAAACGGAGATCTTTCTGTATTATATTGATTACTGTTGCCTTAGGCCATTGATCTTTGTATTCATGAATTCTCGCCTGTTACATTTTGCTTATCACGGTTTTGGTACGACTTATTGTAGTCTTTTTCTCAATGGTCATGGTGCCTTAAGTCATTTAGTTCAAACGATATCCTCGTCTTGGAAATCGAAAATCCCCGGCCAGACCACACCTTTATGATTCAAGTGTATGAATATTTATGGTAGGAAAAGACTGTGACATACTCTTTCTAACAGCGATCAGTATTCGGTGGCACTACACTACCTTCGCGACGCCAAAACGTAGTTGTGATACATATATATATATGTATCGGCTGTGATTTTCACATGACTTGCGCATTCAAAATCGTTTTAATATAACGTACTCATATCCTCTGTATATATCTTTAGGTAGTGTATATGTCAGCCTCAATCAAAAACCACAGAAAATACATCAAGAATTGAATTTTAACTGTTTTACGGAAGAGGGCAGCAGATGAGTTTCACCTTGTTTTTTAAGGCTTTGTTTGTTCTCGTATGGGTCATTGAAAATTATCTGCTATCTTCTTTGAGTCAGATATCATTTAACAAAATTATAGACACTGTTTATGAACAAAATATGGCTTAATTGATCAAATTTAAATTAGTACCATGTTATTTTTTGAAAACTTCTTTGCTAGATGAATTTACTTAACATAAAATATTTAATAGTAACTACCGATGAAATTTCCTTGAGTTTTAATAAACATCTCGTTACCCCACCATCATTAACTTCGGCCTTTTCAAAATGTGATTCATATTGTTGCGTCAGCGAGGTCACGTGACTAGTATCACGCCACTTCCTTCTCGAACCTTCGTGAATTGTCGGGAGATTACTAGATTGGGGTAGTCTGGTATATATAAGATGGTCACAACGTTACAGAACAATGTGTAGGTAATGAGTAATTGAACTGCAGTCAGAGAGTGTGTAATTGAGTATTGTCGAGCACGTGAGACGTTCTAGCGTTTGTTATAGATCGATTGTTGAAATTAAGTGTATCGGTAAAGTTGTATTCGGAAGAAATAAACCAGTTTTATTTAAGAAAGGACTTGTGTCGCTAAAGTTTCGTCGGAACGAATTTACGGAAAATTAACTAACGACTGGAGGCGTAACAATATTTACTTATTTCTGCATATTCAGAACAGGTAACGCACATTTGTGGATATCTTCGGGTGAACTAACTTGTTGTATTCTAGGTCATTTTTGTTAAAATGAACTTTAACCAGTTGATAAAAACCCATGAAACACTGAAGCTAAAAAGGGTTTTTATTTGTACTTTAGATAGCGAAACATTTATTACATTAATAGGTTGTGATGATGTTATAACAGATCAGAAAAACAAACAAGTCTACATCAAAATGAGCTTACCACTTTCTGAACTGAGCCGAGGTTGGTCATTAAGAACTTTTACAAAATAATTTTTGTCTAAATGAGGGCAATTGCAGCTGTACAAATATGTAATACTTATAGATATATCATCAGCTTTACTTGGCTTATATACATATGAAACTACACTGACACTTGTAATTGAGATTGAAAAACGTTGTTATCTGAACTGGTAGTTCAACAATGTAAGGGTCAACAAACTTCTTTACCAGAAGCTGGCCAAGGTGGGATAGCATAATTACTGTCTAAAAACTACATCGTGGTGGGTGAAATGGAAACCTTTTCCACTTTTTTTTTCACTCCTTCAAGTGGATATACTTATATCTTTTCATTAAGAACTTACACATAACTGCTCCATTCAACTTCTTTATCATTATTAAAACTGCTCCAAACAATATTTCAATATACAATCATAAAGCTCAAAATCGGTATTTTCAAAACACGTAAGATAAACGATAAAATATTAAACTGAGATATTGTAAATTAAAAGTGGATGGTACTTCAGTTTTAAATTCTAAGTTATTCAAACTACAGAGGTTTTACAATATTAAAATATTGTAAATTAAAAGTGGATGGTACTTCAGTTTTAAATTCTAAGTTATTCAAACTACAGAGGTTTTACAATATTAAAATAAGACAACACTTTTAACTTGAATTTAAAGTTTTCATAAGATTAAAGTTGCTTAACTGAACAGAAATTCTAATTTTCATGAAAAAAAAGGTCTCTCACAAACAAGCAATAAATTATTTTACACAGTGTTAAGGCAATATCAGCACCAGTCTCTGGCATATGCTGAAAAGAAGATGGCCCCGAAAATTCCACAGTGGAATACAAAGACGCCATTTAACCATAGAAGAACACAAGAGCTAAAGCTCAAAATATATACAATCCTTCTTTCAAAGGTCACCGGTTTGTATGTAAAATAGCCCATCACACATACAGTGATCCAGCTTTCAGGGTCAACTTCAACCAAAAGTTCAAGACAGTATTTTGTTGCAAAAAAAAAAGAGTAACTTTTCTAGTTTTACCATAGAGAAGATCATGAAGTCAAATGGGGCAAGGCAAAAGAACAAATCTAACAATATATAAATTCACACAGATTTCAAGACATAACAATCACTACTTTCTGTATTTCTACAACAAAAGCAGCTATTTACAGTCGGACAACATAATATTAATGTTTACAAGTGACTTTGCCATTCCGCAGTTCGAGACTTCAATACAATGCAATGACTACAACTCACCGATAATCTGAGTTTGCATCTACCTAAAACAGTATTTAGATCAATGGCAGCTGATAATACTTAAGCCTAAACACACAATCCTGTGAAAGAAACAGTTCCTAATGCTAGAAGATTAGGCCTGAACACACAATCCAGTGAAAGAAACAGTTCCTAACGCTAGAAGATTAGGCCTGAACACACAATCCAGTGAAAGAAACAGTTCCTAACGCTAGAAGATTAGGCCTGAACACACAATCCAGTGAAAGAAACAGTTCCTAACGCTAGAAGATGAGTTTCGATTTTCTCACACATGTTATCAAGTAAAAATGGCAGTGAACTAATATCAAACCAGGTAAAAAAAACAGAAAACTAAAGTATTCAAAACTTTTTAAGTAGCAAAAATGATCAAATTCTATAGAAAAAAAAAGGTAAGACCCCCCCTCCCCCCAAAAAAATCCTCCTTTGTAATCAGATTGAACATTTGGGGAAAGAGAAGAAAAAATATGTTTGATCATATATATATATATAATACTACTTAAAAACAAAAAATGAGAACTATTTGTATCAATATTCTTAAAGATCCAGTTATATAAAATATTTTTTAGTAAGAGCTATTTCTTACCTAGACTTGCCATTCCTAACAACTCATGTATAGTGTGTGACAAAATATATATTTACTGAGTTATTTTTTTTTTCTCTAGCACAAGTCAACTGTAATAGAAAAAGTTTTCATGAGGGCCCCCTCTAATGTAGATAACAAATACCCTAAAGTAATGCTGATTGTAACAAGAAATATGGAACCTGAACCTGAATAGTAATATATCATGGTCATTATCGTTTCTTAGAGATAAGGTTTGCAATTAAGATACAAATCTCTTTGTTTGTTAGTATAAAAATGGCAGTTTTTCTTCATTCTTTAACTTGATTGATGCATTTCTTTTGCAATTGTAGTATGAGAGCTATTTGAAAACAAAAGCAGTACCCTACCAAGAGAAAAACACACAATAGATACTATACTTTACCACATATTCTTAAAATGTAAAACATATGCAAACACTTAGGTGAACTTTGAAATGACAGTGAAGAAAGTCATAAATACACAATAAATAGGTAAACAATTATTCTTAAATACAATATAAAGATGCACAGATAATTTGAAAATGGAAGTGGACTGGGTATTGACAGGGATTGGGGACATCAGTCTAGTGATTAGTAGGGATTGGGGACATACGTCTAGTGATTAGTAGGGACTGGGGACACAAGTCTAGTGATTAATGGGGATTGGGGACACGAGTCTAGTGATTAACGGGGATTGGGGACACAAGTCTAGTGATTAATGGGGATTGGGGACACAAGTCTAGTGATTAATGGGGATTGGGGACATGAGTCTAGTGATTAGTAGGAACTGGGGACACGAGTCTAGTGATTAGTAGGAACTGGGGACACGAGTCTAGTGATTAATGGGGATTGGGGACACAAGTCTAGTGATTAGTAGGAACTGGGGACACGAGTCTAGTGATTAGTAGGGATTGGGGACATGAGTCTAGTGATTAGTAGGGATTGAGGACATGAGTCTAGTGATTAGTAGGGATTGGGGACACGAGTCTAGCAAGGTTGACACCACATGTTGTTTACTGTAAACTTGCATTCTCAACAGTTTAACCCACAGAGATTATACATATGTTAATTTTTTATGTTTTAATGTATAAATAAATAGATGTATACAAAGATTTACGATTGATTCATTTGGGGCAGTTGTATATTTTCATTGTTACATGTCCACTCATAACTATGAAGAACTTTCACAGTTTTAACAGGACACACAATTAATGCTGGCAGTCACTTTGACCTGACGATGGCTATAGCAAAGTGGTAAAAAAATTACATACAACATGTGGAGTTTACCAATTTATTGTGTATTAACTAGTTGAAGAGTCACTTTTTTTTATTTGAATTTGATTATGGTAACGTAGAATTACATGAATGTGGTAATCATTCAACATGTAGTTTCCTAATAAAGGCAATTATAAATGGTAATTATTATAATTATAATTATTATGGTAATGCCATATTTTAATATATTTAAAGGATTATTGAACTTAAAAATCTTTGATTAAATTGGAATCCAAATCTTAGTACAACTTCCATTTAAAAGTAACAAACGGCAATATAGCCACTGTGATCTATTTATGTAAAGGTACGTTTCTTCGATGCCTAAACAGAGAAAAGTCGGGCTTTTATGTCTTACATGCAGTAACCAACTATAAAATTGTGTCACCACCATTCTTGTTTATATGCAGCTAATAAACAATACTTAAACTGATATACTTATTTTAGTTACATGGGGTAATGCAACACAATAAAAAGAAAAATTCTCAATTCGCACTTGATGCCTTCAGTTCACATATTAGGTACTGTAAATAACAAACTAACTAAAGTGTTAAACATTGAAGCTAAACTTCAAAATTACCCAAGAAGCAAAAAGTTTTATCTATTTTAAGAGTAAACTTGGTTTAAGTTATAAATGTTCAATTGAAATATAATTTATTCACACTGACTGTGTAAATTTACAAACACAATCTACAATATCTGCATACATACAGTAGAAATTAGTGGAATGTACATACAATAAATGTGTGTATCAATTTGAATATTCGAAAAAATATCTTGAGCAACTGTTAACTTATTTTGAATATTACAATATAGTAGAAACACCATAATGTTACTTAATAACACTCAGAGCATTCACAGTACCAAACAGATAGCTAAATATAAATAAAATCAGCAGTAAACAGATAGTTTCTTTATTTTATAGAAAAGCCACACATTAGTCTATCTGCATACTGTCTGCTGTGTGGAATTGAACCCCAGCTTTTATAGGGTTGTGGGTCCATAAACATAATGCTGACCCACCGGGGAACACACTAGATAGGAAGCAGACTGTATATAGAAATACATGTGTACTTTATTCCTCCAATTCTTAACCCCCAACTTTTCTTGGGTTTAGGTTTTAAGCGTTTGAAATCATGTGCTAAAATGGTTTGGAACTAACCTAACATGGAGCTGTAAGTGTTTACATAAAATGTTTAATTTTGAGCAGTTTCTGTCACTACAGAAAAAAAAAACACTCTTGTTTTGTCATTTAGATATGCATTCAACCCTGATGATCACTAGTTTATTTTTGTTTCAAATATTTTTAGATACGGTGCTATCTTATCAAGTAAACATTTTAACCATCATTAAACAATGGAAGAGCAATGTATGAAGCATCAGTTTAACAAATTTTATAGTTATAGATTTCAAATAGACAAGCAGTTGTAAAGTGGGTGAAGTAATCAGTAAGTTATTGGATTTCAAACTAAAGACTGTAATGATAAAACAGCATTGTACAACTGACAAAAATTTTGACTCATCCTAATCTAGTGCAACCAACAAAAACATGCTGTAATAGTATTTCAACTAGTATTTTGTTGTTTTTGTTATAATCTATTACAAGTAAAGCATTTCCCTCAGTAGCATGCAGAGATTATCAAACCACCTGACCTGCAACTGTGAAAGTGCTAGTAAAAATTCTATTTAAACCAGAATATCCTGCAACTGTGTAGCAGTTACATTAGCACTGGCTACCTTCAGATTAGAAAAATAACAATCACTTCAAACTAATTTCAAGCTTCCTATTTCTGGGTAAGAATTAAAACCATCAAACATAAATAGCATTTATATAAAGTCCTTCAGGCAACATCATTATTACTTCATTTGTCAAAATCAAACATAACTTCTCCAACAAAATACCTTACATTTTAAAATTAATATAACAGTACAAGCCAATATATATATATATGTATGTGGCACTAGCTAATAAAGTACCTGATGCTCTGAGAAAACCAGAGACAAAAATATATTTTTAAAAATATCATAATAATCCTACTTAAACAAAAATCTATTACTATGCTTTAATATTATGTCTGTGCGTTTATTCCTTTAATTCGGATCACATTTTGTACATTGAAAACATGACAGATAGCAGAACTAACTTAAGTATTAACCTTGGATTAGATGAAATTTAACCTGAGATGAATTAAACTCCATGTTTCACCAATAAATATTTAGAAATAAGCAAAATTTACAATTTGCTCTAAACTTTCATACACTATAATGCATTTGCATTAATACATAACATAACCAACCATTTGCAGAGAAAATAAAATTGCACTATTACTATAATAGCATAACTTTCACAGCACCAAAAGATATATTGGTGCTTATTTGTAGATTTTAGCCAATCAGATTTTACCCTTAATTAATAATACTATCTTATAAAATAACTTGGACTGTGTACTTTGAAAAATCATTCCAAACTCAAAACTATATAAAACAAAGAAATTAAATACATAAACCACAAGCTCACACAAAAAAAAAAGGGTTGAAAAAAATAAACACATGTAACTAGGAAAAAAAAAAGGCTTACTTAAACACATTCTTTGAAGTTTTAATAAAAAGAAATATTAATCCAAGAAAAAGTTTCACTTCCAATTGTTTCTCTAATGAGTACAAAGAAATGGCAGTCCAACTGAAGTTTCTCTCCTATACATACTATTAACATTCATAAAGAAATGGCAGTCTGAGTAAAGCCTCACTTCTATATACTGTATTAACAAATACAAAGACAAGAAAAAAAAAGTTCAAGTACGATTATCTTTGTAATGGATGATAAATGAATAACTATAAAAACTAATCCGCTATAATCAAGTGTTAGTGGTTAACATAGTTTCTTTTAAGACCTGTCTTAATAAACACAGATAGAAAATGAGTGACAGCTTCTTCTAAAGCTTATTTTAAGTAAGTGAGAGAAGAGTGTTTAACTTAAGTTTTTTTCTAGAATCCTTCTGTATGTACACAACTATTACAATTAATTCTGTGAACAATTAATTCACAAATATTAAAACTGATTACTCGCTAATAAATAAAACATTATAAAATAAAATTTGAAAACCATATGTGCTAATAACGTCTGTTTCTGACCCTAACATAGACATTTTAAAAGCCACAATGAGTCATTCGCATCACAAGCTCCATGAATCAAAGAACAAAAGTATGAAAACCTGGTGGCTTATACAAATGAATTAAATGATATACATCGTGAACAAGGTTATAAGAAAAAGTTTGCTATCATACAAAACAAATATACCTAATACAGCGTGAAGAAACGTTTCACAGCTTGCTCATGTTTTTCAGAACAACTAATAACAGGTCCAATATAGGCCTTGTCAGCAATGTTTTGCAGTAGACAAAAGATCTAGTAACAATAATTGTACAATTTTGTAGTTACCCATAACAGGCCTCTGAAGAATAAAGTGCTTAAAAACATCAAGCACACAGTGTGATGTTTTCATCACATACCCTTTAACCTTGAAAACTTTTAAGTTTTACTATCTTAAGCTTTTTACACCATCCTGTCTAATATAACTTCAGCTGCCAACAAAAACTTTTAATTTTTTACAAAAACCCTCATCAAACTATTATTATATTATACAAAATATGTTTAGATAATAGTTATGAAAAATGTTATTATATAACAGATTGAATAAAGTTAATAAAAATTTGAACTTAGGACCACTCACTGTGAGGCAGGAATAAACCCGCTTCACACATTTTACCCTGTACAAACATCTTCTAACTGTTCAACTAGCTTTTCCAAATCTTGCTAAATTTTACTTCAATGAAAACTTCACTACAAGAATTTAAACCAAGAACTGCAACAAGGCATGTGCACCTGTTCGCTGAAGCCCAATCGGGGCTCAAAAAAAAAAAGGGGGAAGAATTTTGAAATTCCAACCAATTGCACTTTCTTATTTTCCATAATTGGTGTTCTTCTGTTCTTTCCCTGCTGAACTTTTAACTGTATTCTCAGACGGGAAATCAAATTTCAAAGATGTCAAATCTTTCTCTGCTGTTTTCTTCAAAATGAAGGGCTGCTTTGGCACAGAACTGTCTTTTAATTGTGTGATTTCCTCTTGCAACAAATAAATTTGCTGCTGTAAAGCTCTATTTTCAGTGAGAAGTGCTAAGTAAGCTCCATCCTTATTTTTAGTCACTTCAGAAGTTGACACCTTACATCCATTTTGATGAAGTTTCAACTCTTTTAGCTCCCTTTCAAGGGCTTTCTTGGCATTATAAACCTGGCATAGTTTCTGCCGCTTGTTGGTGAGTGTATGCTCTAGTTCCTGTAAAATTAAACAATTCACAAATGAAATCCCTGTTTACCATAAACTGTAATTTAGCAAATTAAAAATTATCTATCAGCTTTTAAATTACTTTCCATGCAATTATTCAAAATTTCTCTTCTAGATTGCTGTACATGGAGAAATTGCTTTTTTTTTAACAAAAAGTCCTTTACAATCACACTGCTTATGTGTCACACTACCAAATTTTGCATACAACAACACATAGCACTCAGTAATTGTTGTCATTAAACTTTTTCCAATAACTACATCAGAAACCAACTGTTGATTAGCACTGGATCTCTAGTTTGGATTAGCCATACCTTCTGCAGAGCCTTGCACTGACTGACAGACTCAACGAGTCGCCTCCAATAGGAAGAAAGCATGACTTTAACTTCCTCCACGATTTTTGATGACACACTTTCTGTAATTCTGTGGCTTTGCAACAGGGTAGAAAGTTTCTCCAAGTCTTTCAAAACTTCAGTACACTCTTTTGCTTCATGTTCAACACCTGATGACGTTCCCATTATGTCAGTGTCTGCTGAAGAGCAAAAAAAAAATACCCTATCACTGAAGGGACACAAAAAATGTTTTATCTCCTACTGTAGGAATAAACTCACGACAAACATTAAAAATACCTAATTTAGTTCCTAAAGTGATAAGCTTATTCATACGAAATCTCCCACCATATTCAATTTCTGTGTTTTTCAAACTTAATTTGCAATTAGTCAATAAACAACACTGGACTAATACAATCATCTCGTAATGTTCAACTCATTGGTAATTTATTTACTGTTCTTAAAAAAAAAACTCATTCTTCAACTTCACCTATAACATTAGGATTGTTATATTTCTAGCTGAATGGCACCTGATGTGACACATGGGCTAAATATTCTGGTCAGAGACCCTTAGCTATTCCTAATTTAGAATTGCTGACCAGAGGTTGAACAACCAATCGACAACACCTGCTGCCTATACAACTGCTTTTAAGTGAACACTAAGATTGACTGACACAGTAATAATGCCCTGAAAGTGTTGAACATGTTCAACAGCATATTCACACCTCGGAACTTCCTATCCACAGCCCAACACATTAACCACTTTTTTTCCACTCCTGAGCCCATAATGTTCTATATCAGAAAAGTGATGGGTCATATTCATAGACAAGCTTTATGTATTTAAAGCTAAAATTGATTCTAAGAAATCTATTAAGTTTCCCTCCAACATACAACAGTGAAAATCTGTATAGCTAGTTTCACAGCTTCCCCTGGTCATTCAGAACTCTAAAACCCTATAAACTGTAAGTGTCTTTGTAGGGAAATATAACAGTTAGTGTATTTTACAGTATAGCAAATCAACGGCTACAAAACTTTGCCACAAAAACATTTCATACATATACTCTAAGCATATCTGATATAATGATGCAGGGTAATCAGATTATTAACTTATATGCTTCATGTTTAACTCGGACATTTCGAAGATTAAAAGACCATGTTTAGAACTGACCATTATTCACATAGACACGACAATCATGGACATGCTGCACCAGAGTTGGTTACGCCAAGTGCCGGAGAATTCAACTCGGCTATTTTCCTGATAATTGAATTATATGGCTATCACTTAATTTCTTATACACAAGTCCAAATTCACACTGGAGTTCTAAGAATAGAATCTGTATATTGAGATCATATGACCAAGGGCCGGGAGGCCCTGGAATTTGGAACTTTCTGGTAGTTTTTGACTTGACAAGCTTGTACTCTACAACTTCTGTAGTGTCTTTATAAATAAAAGTGTTTGTTTTTCTTATATCATACTTCGGTTTCTCAACAACATATACCATGACTAGTGAAGTTAAAAATAATATCTGTTACAACTGATTCAAAAGAAAACAAAATTCAATTAACTTTCATCCCCTCACAGACATAATAGAAAAACTCCTAAAAACTTTTACATATAAAGTTTACAGTGTTCTACCAGGTACTGTAGGTGAACTACTCAGTGATACTATCAACTTTATCTGTTAAAGCCACAGTTATCTACCTGATAATGTACTTGAACTACTCAGTGATACTATCAATTTTACCAGTTAAAGCCACAGTATTCTACCAGATAATGTAAATGAACTACTCAGTGATACTATCAACTTTATCTGTTAAAGCTACAGTATTCTACTTGATAACGTACTTGAACTACTCAGTGATACTATCAACTTTATCTGTTAAAGCTACAGTATTCTACTTGATAATGTACTTGAACTACTCAGTGATACTATCAACTTTATCTGTTAAAGCTACAGTATTCTACCAGATAATGTACTTGAACTACTCAGTGATACTATCAACTTTATCTGTTAAAGCTACAGTATTCTACCAGATAATGTAGTTGAACTACCTTGTGATACTATCAACTTTATCTGTTAAAGCTACAGTATTCTACCAGATAATGTACTTGAACTACTCAGTGATACTATCAACTTTACCTGTTAAAGCTACAGTATTCTACCAGATAATGTACTTGAACTACTCAGTGATACTATCAATTTTACCTGTTAAAGCTACAGTATTCTATCAGATAATGCAGTTGAACTACTCAGTGATACTATCAACTTTATCTGTTAAAACTACAGTATTCTACTTGATAACGTACTTGAACTACTCAGTGATACTATCAACTTTATCTGTTAAAGCTACAGTATTCTACC